CCCACTGCAGAATTGGCCCACACACTATCCTTCATTAGCTATGCAAAGACTGCTGTGTTGGGGGCTGGTGAGATGGCTCAGTGGTCTAAAGCACCTACTTAGAACAAGCTTAGCAAATCACAGGGACTGTGGTTCAATCCCCCAGCACCACATGCCAGCCAGCTGCGCCCCCTGGTGGGCTGAACTGACCACACACACACACACACACACACACACACACACACATAAATAAAAATTAAAAAAAAAAAAAAGACTGCTGCGTGCTGTATTTTATTTGTGCATATATTGATAATTAAAATGGGAGCAATTGAAACAGGAACCAAATAAGGCTTGCTTGTGTAAATATACAATTTGTTACATTGGCACCTAACTTTGGACCACACCAGTGTTATTATTTTGTCCCAGGAATTGAACTCCAGCATTTTTATCATTATTTTGTTGTTGCTGTTGTTTTGAGACAGAGCCTCACTATGTAGTTCAAGCTGGCCTCAAACTCAACATGTTGCTTCTTTAAATGTGAATCATAATGTTTCAGAGCTGGGAGGGAACCTAGAAGCAAGTTCAGTGTTTTATTTCTTTTTTTAATGTATGTAGCACAGCGTCTATAGGGTCTCTATACACATTGGACTCAGAGAGATCCTCCTGTTTTCAGCCTCCAAAGAGCTGGGATTACAGGCGTGTGCCTAGTCTCAATTGCTGTGTCACTGCGCCCCGGGGGTGGGGCTGGCACAGCATGCCAGGGATCAGAGCTGGGTCTCTGCATCTGCCGAAGCAGGCACTTTAATCCACTGAGCTATCTGGCTGCCCCCTAAATTCAGTGTTTTAAAGTCATTTTTAAAAGTTACTGGTGTGTGTAACCCTAGCCCTCAGGAAGCTGAAGCAGGAGGATTGCTATAAGTTTGAGGCCAATCTGGACTACATAGTGAGACCCTGTCAAAACCAAAACAAAACAAAACAAAAAACAAAAAACTAAAGCACCAAGGATATAGCTCAGCAACATAAGTTCCTGCCTGGCAAGCACAAGTTCCTGAGTTCAATTCCCAGTAACTCCCCAAAAAAGAGAAAAAGAAAAACTAAACTAAAAATGTTATAGTTGATAAAGAAGCCAAAACCATTAAGAAGTACTATTTTTTGTTGAGCACAGGTAGGCCTGAATCAACTGCAGAGCCTCTTCTTGACCTTCCAAGTATAATTGGAGAATCATTCCGTCTGACTGATGGTCCTGTAGAGGACAAACCAAGCTGGTGAAGAAGCTGTGTTGGGAATAGGACACACAAGTGTCCTGCTTCCTACACTGCCCAGCATCAAGACCACCTTGATCTCTCTGTTGTGCGTGTCAGCAGCTTCCCAGGAGGGCAAGCAGGAACAGCGACTCTCCTCCTTTCCTACCTGTTCAGCAGCTGCTCAGCTCAGTCCTGGACAAGACCGGCTTTCCCTTGTTCTCCTTCTCAGCGGAGCTTGATGGTACTTCCTCTTTTAAATAATTTCCTTTTAAGTACTCACTGAAAACAGGCCTAAAAATAGGGGCCGGGCAGAACCGGGGATTGAACTCAGATCCTTGTGTGCACCAGTCAAGCGCTTACCCTACTGAGCCATCTCCCCGGCCCCAAGACCTGAACTTTTTTTTTTTTTTTTAAAGAATTATCTTTACTTGTTTCTTCTCCACAAGAGAGAACACAAAGAGG